CAACTCTATTGATTATCTTCAAGACAGTAAAGATAAATAAATAGATAATGTTTAATTAATACTCATAATCCATTAAAAAAAATTACTTAGCACCAATGCAATCACTTAACCAACCCTTGAGTTTAAACCTATGTGCATTCGTAATGTCTATATGAAGATCATGTAGTAAAAATTAGAATCACTTGAATAGACATTTACTTTTTTCCTCTTTACTTCATCTAATCATCCAAATTTCGCGATGAACTCACTCTCATCTTTTTTTAATCTAGACATGCAAAATTTACACAATATACAAATATTTATCCTTAAATTCAAATATAATCTTTTCTATAAATTTTTTAAATTTCAGTAATATTTCAAAATTTGACGATGGGAAAGCAAAAAAATTGCCTTTTGCTTTTTAAAAAGCTTAACTAAATAGTCTCTTAAATTATATGCTTAAAAATTGCCATAAACATTCTTGAAACTTTCTAATATCTAGTATAATCTTTTATTTTCCATCCGAATTGGTGTTTATACAAAAAAAAGATACTTTAATCAATTTATGTGGCTTGACAATATTGTTGCACAAAGAAATTAAAATCAAATTCTTGATGCATCCGCCCATGCTTATCTCATAATAATCTTCCGAAGATACAAAGCCAAAAGGTCACTGATACGATTGAAAACGAGTCAAGTAACTTGGTTAATTCATAAGTATATGCTTATTGAGGTCCAGTATTAAAAAAAATTAATTGGGCAAAGGTCAAGCTTAAGTATCTATTTAACAACGTAACAATTAAATGAAAAATATCATTTATCGAATTCACAATTGTCGATGTTAGGAATAGATTAACAAAAATTGTTTCTCAATTTTTTAGTAATTTCAACATTTGAGCTCAAGCTTCGAATAAATTTAGAGATAATAATACAAATAGTCCCTGAACTTTGGCCCAATGGGCAATGTGGTCCCTAAACTTTTCATTTATTTAATGTGCTCCCTGAACTTTGGCCCAATATGCAATGTGGTCCCTAAACTTTTAATTTGTTCAATGTGGTCATTAAACTTTTGGGACATATTCAATGTAGTCCTTGAACTATATGAAAATATCCAATGTCATTCTTCTATTAATTCAAGATCAAGGACAGCATTTAACATTTTCATATAATTTAGGAACTAAATTAAATATGTACCAAAAGTGCAAGGACTACATTGTATAAATCAAAAGTCCAAGGACCACATCTCACATTGAATCAAAGTTTATGAACCATTTATGTCATTTTTCCATGAAATTACTTTCTATTTGAGTTATGTCGACATCTATCTAGGACAATCGAATATGATCGAACTCAATTATTAAAGTAATGAAAAATCGTGGATCCAATGGGAAGGAGTTATCGTGCTGCAATGTCCTCAATCTTTTTAAGCTGTCGTTCCCTTTTTTTCTATTATGTATTCCATTTTTTGTCTGATTATCCCTACTTGGAACTCACTATAAAAAATAATCATGAAGTAGGAATAATTTATTCTACTGAAATTTCCTTAATTTGTTCCATCTTTTAATTGAATTTTAAATTAGTTTTAAAAAATATAAAAAAGAAACAAAGAAATTAAAAACCACCCTGGGCATAACGTGCGTGAGCCTATCACGGGGGCTAGCACGGCCCGTTGGGGTCATGGGCGTGCCGGCCCGTGCACGGGATTTCCCATGACTTGCTCGGCCCGACACATGAAATTGACAGGAAAATTGTCCAAAAAGTCTTAGACCTATTGCTTTTTTGCCAATTCAGTCCTAAACCTTTAAATTTTGCCAATTGAGTTCTAAACCTTTTCACTTCTTGCCAATTGAGTCAATTCGGCCAATTTTGATCGGAAATCGCTGACGTGGATGCGGGCGATTAAATATCATGTCCCGTTCATCAAGTATATTATCTCTCCTTCTCTTCTTGACTTTTGGATTCCTCAATCATCATCATTCTTTGAGGAATACTAGCTTCACACATTTGGGCAAACAAATTCCGTCTATTAATTGATGTGCCAGTTAGTTATTACTGACCGTTGAATATGACCTGCTAATTGCCCTAATGCCGAACTCGCTCTGAAAGGACTGATGTCAATTACGGACGTTCTCATCACTTTGATCCCCAAAGTCCCAAACCCAGAAAACATGAGTCAGTATAGACCCATAAGCCTCTGCAACGTCAGCTATAAAATCATTTCCAAAGTGCTGGCAAATCGATTGAAACCTTGGCTCCCTGGAATCATTACCATGGAGCAAAGCGCGTTCATCAGTGGACGCCAAATCCAGTACAATATACTGATTGTACAAGAGGTTTTGCACCAATTGAGAATCAGGAAGAGAAAGAAAAAATTCCAGGCGGTTCTAAAACTTGATATGCAAAAAGCTTACAATAGAGTGGAATGGGATTTTCTGGGGGCTTGCATGCTAAAAATGGGTTTCAATGAGAAATGGGTGACTATGATTATGAATTGCGTCTCCTCCATCACTTTCAGTGTGAAGGTTAATGGGGAACCTCAAGAGTACTTTCAACCATCTCGAGGCATTAGACAAGGTGACCCACTCTCCCCCTATCTTTTTATCATTATGGCTAATGTCTTGTCCCATCTTTTGCATAAAGCTTTGGAAGACGGCAGCATAAAAGGAATTAAATTGAACAGTTTTTGTCCAACACTCTCGCATCTACTATTCGCTGATGATGCCATATTTTTCTTAGACGGGAAAATTAGTGAATGTCAGAATCTAGCAGGGGTTTTGAATCAATATTGTTTTGCGACCGACCAAGCAATAAACTTGAACAAGTCAGGGATTTATTTTAGCAATGGCTGCCCACCTGATATGAAGAAAAACATGGCCGAGGAGTTGAGAGTTCCTGTGATAGAAAAGACTGGGAAGTACCTAAGCATTCCTTCCGATTGGGGGACCTCAAAAAAGCAAATGTTTGCCCGGATACTGACTAGGGTCAACATGAAATTAGAGGGTTGAAAGGAAAAGCTTATTTCAAGGGCGGGAAAGGAGACTTTGATAAAATCCGTAGTGCAAGCTATACCTCAATATGCGATGTCAATTTTTAAGATTCCCATCTCCGTTTGTAGAGCGATTGAACAAAAAATAGCTTCGTTTTGGTGGAAACAGAATGGATCAAAGATGGGCATTCATTGGAAGAACCGGAAGGTACTCAAGTTAAGGGAAACGGAGGGTGGTCTCGGATTTAGGGATCTCATAACATTCAACAAAGCCATGTTGGGGAAGCAGGCCTGGAGACTAGTCCAATCCCCCTCAGCCCTATGGAGTCAACTCATTAAAGGACTCTATTTTCCCAGAGCTAACTTTTGGAACGCTAACAAAGGCTCCCGACCATCGTGGGGATGGAAAAGTTTGTTAATGGGGAGAGACACCATCTATCCATCAATCAAATGGGTCGTTGGCAATGGGAAATCAATCAGAATTCATGAAGATAGGTGGTTACCCCAGGGTTTGATCGGAGGACCAGCTAATTCAGAAGACCCCCAAAGAGTCGAAGAATTGTTCGTTTAGGGAAAGCAATGCTGGGATGAACAGAAACTGAATTCTCTTTTCAGCGAGCATATAGTCGAGGAAATCACGGCTATACCACTGAGCTCTACCCCCAAAGAAGATGTACTAGTGTGGGCAAGGAATAAAACAGGGAAATACACTGTAAAAGACTCCTATAACAGAATGCAGCCATCAGAATATCAGCAGAATCACAACCAGGCCTCCTCCTCGTATCAATTTCCCAAATCCTTATGGCAGAAAATTTGGAACCTCAATACCATGCCAAAAATCAAGCACTTCATTTGGAGTGTGTGCCAGAATAGCTTACCAACTCGTGAGAACCTGTGCAAGAGAACAATAACGCCAGATCCCCTTTACCCTGTTTTGCAGCCAAACCCCCGAGTCAGTGGAGCATCTCTTCTTGCTTTGCGACTGGACAAAAGCAGTTTGGTCAGACTACCGACTGCAAATGCATATCTCTCGCTACGGAATTACTAGAATCAACAAGTGGCTGTTGGAAATTTTGCTACAAAATACGGACTTACCGTCACACCGAGCTGGTCGCAGGGGTATTGTGGAAAATTTGGTTGGCTCGAAACAGAGTCATCTTTCGAGATCGAAGTCCGGATCCAAGCTTGATAGTCGACGAAGCATGTGCCTTAGACAAAAACTTCAAGCGTTGGAACCCCAAAGTGATCAACAGAGAAAAGCGAAAGGGGAACTCACCTATTTCGTGGACTCCTCCAGAGACCGGCGTATTAAAACTAAACATCGACGGGTCAATCGTCGAAGGCGAGAGGGTGGGTGCCGTTGCCGGGATTTGCCGAGATTCTACTGGGAGAGTTGTGGGTGGTTTTGCTAAAAGTGTGGTAGCCTCCTCGGTGATGGAAGTCGAAACCCTAGCTTTGCATGCGGCTCTATTGTATTTAGAAGATGAAACTGATCTGTGGAAAAGCAAAACTGATCTGCAGAGAAGTGTTGATCTGCATGTGGTGGTGAGCTCTGACAGCTTATCTTTGGTGGACATCATAATGGGCCAGACTCCGGGCACGTGGGAGATTCAGGCCATCCTTGAAGAATGCAAACAAAAGCTGTCTCGGTTAAAAGCTGTAGAGCTTGTCTACAACCCACGCGAATCAAATCAAGTGGCAGATTTCTTAGCCAAAACACATCGCAAGAAAGCCCTACCGCAAGATTGGCTTGTAAAACCGCCATTATCTCTACGGGATCTTTTATGTTCAGAAATCCATAACTTATGTTATCCTTTCGTTAGTTAATTAATGAAACATTTTACTTTTTGACCCAAAAAAAAAAAACTTCCAACCCCGGTTTTGGCTGCTCAAAAGCCAAGAACCGTCGGTCATCAATCAAGTTTCCCGAACATAGCGATCTCAAAGCTGTGAAGTATCCCAGAATAATTGCGCATGCACGACTTTGTGATGTGATACGGAACATGATATTTCAAACAAGTCCAAATTATTTGGCTAATAAGAAGCAAGTTATTTTACTATGAATAGATGCTTGCACATAAGGAAGAGAGTTTACTGTCCTTCTCCTCTAACAAAAAGAAAACATTTAGACTATGCATCTTCGAAGTTTTAATACTAATCGACATTTTACTACCAAACACAGAAGCCCGAAAAGGCGAACACACGACATTAACTCGATCGACAACTTAACAACCTCCTGAATGTGGTCTAAAAGTTCCGGTCATCGAGATCATGGAGTTGTTCTAAGGTGACTCCAAAGAACGGCAAAACCGGTGGTGCTTGAACATGAAGCTCTCGCGAGACTTGTGTCATGGTCGGTCGAAGTTGAGGATTGGTCTGCAAGCATGCGAGTGCTAGTGCTGCGATAGACATTATGTGTTGCGCATCCCAGTTCGTTGGAGGCGAGAGCCGTTGGTCCAGCACATCCTTCAATGGTGTTTGCGACTTGGATTGAGTGGATGAAAATACTGACGAGACATAATCTCCCGGATGCTTTCCCATGATTGTCTCCAGTACCACAACTCCAAAGCTATATACATCACATTTTTCGGTTGGAATGTTGGAATAAGCTAGCTCTGCAATTGAAGAATTCAAAGTCCATTGATAATCTTGTCATCTATAATTAAAGATTCGGAAATTTGCTTTCAAATAATTAAGGAATTTCCAATGACAACACGAGTTGGGACAGTAAATTAATATGCTTTTGCAAAGAACATCACCTGGAGCGATGTATCCGACGGTGCCAGCAATAGTAGTCCAGTTGGTCGAATCTGGCCTCAATAATCTTGCCGTGCCAAAGTCTGAGACACGAGCCTCATAATCAACATCCAACAAGATGTTGTTGCTGGTCAAATCTCGATGGATCAATGGAGGAAAACAGTCGTAATGCATATACGACAATGCATCCGCAACTGCTCGAACCATGTTTATCCTTTTGTCCCAGCCAAACTCTGTTGCTCTTTCATCATCATGCAGAATTGTTCTCAGGCTCCCTCTTTCAACGTACTCGTACACCAGAAAACAATGTCGTGCATGAGAGCAGAACCCGTAAAGCTTCACGATGTTGCGGTGGCGAATATTTCTTAAGGCTTCAATTTCCCTTTCAAAAGGAATGATGTCGACGGTCACATCTTCCTGGGACGATGGAATTTTCTTGACTGCAACAGTTTGACCTGATAGTAGATCAGCTCTGTAAACAACGCCATAGGCCCCTTCTCCCAAATAGTATTTGGAGTCAAATCCTTCCGTGGCCTCCATGATTTGTTCGTAGAAAATTTTGCCATCAAAACTCAGAATCTGCAAGAAATCTAAATCATTCGTCTCTGTTTGTCCATTCCTCTCTCTCTCGATAACCTTTCTTCGACGGCGATTAACAATTGCGAGAAAGATCAAGAAGGAAGAGAGAACAAGGAATCCCAAGAACGAGAGAACAAGGATAATTAAAATTCTAGCTCCGCTGTGTCGATTGTGTTTCTTGCTCATGTTAGAAATATTGCATTTTTGTAATCCACTCACGCTCCCACACAGCCCTTTGTTATGCTGAACTGCTTCAAATGGAGCCTCCTTAAAAGCTTTGACATTTGGGAGAGGACCTTCCAATTCATTGTAGGACACATCAACAGAAGTTAATGCCAATAAGTCAGCAAAACTATGTGGGATGGTACCAGAGAGGTCATTGTGGGAGATGTTGAGAGTTTCCAGGACTCTCAGATTTCCTAGATCTGGTGGTATTCTTCCAGTCAATAGATTTTGACTCAAATCAAGAACGCTTAGGAATCGTGCGTTGCCTATCTCAGGAGGAATGCTTCTTTCGAATTTATTTTGGCTCAAGTTCAAGCTCAGCAAGTTGGTGCATAGGCTCAGCTGTGGCAGAATGGCTCCGCTCAGATTGTTTGATGCTACGTTGAGACGTTCCAGTCGAGATAAAAATCCAATTTCACTAGGAATATCACCTGTGATTCCATTGTTGTTGAGGATAAGATCTAGCAGTAGTTGCAAGCTTCCCAATTCCCTCGGAATCTTTCCGCTTAAATTATTTGAAGAAAGGTCAAGTACCTGTAACTGCGCCATCCTTCCAAATATCAAGGGTATTTCACCAGAAATGTTGTTGTTGGATATCCTTAAGCTCGTCAAATTGCAGCAATGCCCCCACTTCCATGAAAGTTCGCCGTGCAAATAATTGTGGCTCAAGTCTATAAAATTCAGCTGCGGATATATTCCAAATGCTTCCGTTACACTCCCAGTAAGTTTGTTTCCTTCTAGCCTCGCTCTAAATAATGAAGTACAATTCCTCAAGCTTTTAGGGATATGACCCGTGAAATGATTATTATGGACAATGAATTTTTGCAATGATCCCCCGAGGCATATATTTTCCGGCAGTTGCCCTTCGAGGGCATTACCAGCGATTTCAAAATACCTCAAATGAACGAGCTTATTAATTTCAGGAGGCAAGGAACCGTGAAAGTTGTTATCATTAAGGCCTAACCAAGTTAAATTGGCCATGGTTCCAATTGATGCAGGGATTGAACCAGTCAAAGTGTTCTCACTCAAATCTAATCTTACAAGAGAAGTTAGTTTCCCCATCTCTACAGGAAAATAACCTGAAAGTTGATTTGAGAATAGGTGTAAGAGATTCAGATTGCTCAAATTCTGAATAGATGAAGGGATATGCCCCACCAAATTATTTACAGAAAAATCTAATTCAATTAGAACGGTTAACCTCCCGATCTCTGAAGGTATGGATCCTGAAAGTTTGTTCCCCCATAAGTCAAGATACTTCAAACTTATTAGGTTACCTATCTCTCTTGGAATGGGCCCAGAAACGTAATTTTGTGCTACAATCAATTCCGTTAAGTTGCCTAATTTTCCAAGAGAAGGAGGAATGGACCCTGAAAATTGGTTTTGAAAAAGAGAGAGAAAATTTAGGCTGCTTAGGTTTCCTAGTGAAGTAGGGATAGGACCTGTGAGATTGTTTGTGCCAAAATGAACTTCCAAAAGAGAATCTAATAATTCAATCTCCCGAGGGATGTGTCCACTCAAATAATTTCCACATAGACCCAAAAAGTGAAGACTCTTTAGCATGCCTATACATGGAGGTATGTTTCCAGAGAGTCTATTCTCACAAAAATCAAGATGGTTCAGCTTGGAAAGATTACCAATACTCAAGGTTATCGGACCATAGATGGAGTTGTTGGAAAAGTCGAGGCTAACCAGGTTGGTCAAGGGCGAGAAGTCGAGACCATTTAAGGTTCCTCTCAGGCCAAGATTAGAAAGATTAAGATGGGCGACAAATCCGTAGTCGTTGCAAGTGACACCACTGAAGTGGCAAGAGTTGTTACCATGCCATGAAGATAGGAGAGACTGGCTGTGGTCTTCGAGACTAGATTTCCATTTCAGGAGAGCCTCCGCTTCATCCTTATGGTGGGTCGCATTGGAAGCGAAAAAAGTGGAGGAAGCAGAAACACCGATGCCATGAAATGGAGTGGAAACAAAGACGGTGATGTTGTTTAGGAAGAAGAGCGAGTAGAACAACAAGACGACGCCTAAAGAAGACGGTTTCCACAGAAATGAGGAAGAAACCATGATTTTGGGGTGGGTTTTGAGGACGTGAGATTGTCCAGGTTCGCATGTTCTCAGCAACAAGATTGGTAAGACATTTATAGATGGCAAATCATTATCTGATGGAGCCTCAATCGAGGTCACTATGTATTATGTAATCTTTTGTTTCCCTCGTGAAAATCTTTTCTTTAGGAGAAAAAGCGTTGGCAAAATGTTTAAATTAAATTTTCATTCTACGACATGCGGTTAATCAAAAATCGTGTTAGTGTTGCAATTCACATCAATTCCTATTGGCATAGGACTTCAAAATTTCGATGAAATAATTAACTTACGATGTTATCAATAAGTGTCAACGTGCAGATTATGCGAATCGTGTCATTTCATGTTAAGTCTTTCTTTGGATAATTCATGTTCTGTCTCTCGTCTCGGTTTACCATCAATTCGTGTTACGTAGAGTTGTTGGTTGGAGTATGCAAAATGACGATGCTGTTGAGAAAAGACTTGTGCTATGCATTATTACTAGCAGACAAATAATTCCCGGAAACGATCTTATCATCGCGGGGACCAAGAAGTTAACGGGTGGTTGACTCTGCATACTAAATTCATGACCATGTATATCGGTCTTCTTATCCGGTTTCATCGCATTCTGCTCAAAAGGCCGGCATTATCTCCGGAAGACTTCGAATAGTCTACACTAAACATAGCAGCCTTCGCCCAGACCAGGCGAGGGCACGACGGCGCTCGCCCAGACCAGGCGAGGGTCACCAGCCCTCGTTTGTGGCCGGCGATGGTCGGCCGGCGACCTCGCCGGCCACCGGTTTCTAAAAAAAGAAAAAAGAAGGAAAATAAAAGAAAAAAAAAGAAAAAAATATTTAAAAAATATGAAAAAATTGTTAAAAAATTATAAATTTTGTCCACGTCAGCGCTAGAGGTGCCATGTAGGACCGCTGGCATCCACGTCAGCGATTTCCGGCCTAAATTGGCCAGATGGATTGAATTGGTACCAATGCAAAAATGTTTATGACTAATTGGTCCAATTGAAAAGTTTAGGATTGAATTGGTACCGATGTAATAGGTTTAGGACTTTTGTGGTACTTTTCCCCATATGTGAGCATGCTATATGGCTCAACTTCGTGAGAGTTTTACCCACTTTTATACTAGGTTGATGCTCTCTGCTTGCACAAGAATGAATTTTACTTGGATTTTATTTGAACACTGTGCATAAGGCACTTGTTAAGTAACAAAATAACAAAATGTTACAAATTCTAATGCACTGAGTATCTCCGTGACATGCACAATTAATCATTTGAAAATCGAATGCTTCTACATTAAACATGTTTAACAGGTGTTTCCAAGGTAACTCATTAGCAAGATCTATTTTACTTTCACATGTTCACCGTCATCCATGTAGCTAGCGAAAAGTTACTCCACCTGTGGGCTTCAAGTGCCATAGAATGAAGGGGCAAATGGGGCCTTGTTCTGAAGAATTTTTTTCCTCATTGACAATATATTGCGAGAAAATCTTTCCTTTTTTTTATTTTTTATTTTAGCACACATTCAGACGTATGGGGATGATGAGTAAACAGCACAAAATGATGAACCTCAATCGTAGTAGTTATCTTGCTCTTCAGACCGAGAGGGAATTTTATGGGATCTTGATCATTTTCAATTCCCATGCTCGACTTACTTTAAAAATTAACCGATATAGTCAAGCGAATCTGCGGAAAAATCATCGATTTGAGTGTCGGTATGTTCAAACGACAAATTATTGATTTGCTCAGGTCATCAGTCGACGCGAGTCTATCAGGGCGATAGTCGGTGCCATCGGATGAATGATGATGCAAGTCTGGGGCCACACATTTCAGCTTGCCTTTTGTCTCATTTCCACACTATAGTACCTTCTCTCCCTTACGAATTGAATTCGGTTCAGTAAAAATTTATAAATTTCAATTGGGTCCCATGTAGGTTCTTTGCACACGTTAGCTGCTTACTTAACATAATCTTTCTTATATAGTAGTTTCATCAAGCGATTGCCGGATTAAATCACCATGATGAATGTCGTACCATAGAGAAGATCACATTTGCTCGTGCATCAAGTAATTTCTCATCAAAGACCGCACTTTGATTGTTACTTAATACTAGTATGTGTATATCTATTCCCACATGGTCGATGTATGCGTTGGATGGTCATGACCATCCGCGATTGATGTATCAATACAAGTACATCGTGCTAGTGATCAATTATCAATTACAACCATCCAAGAGATGGAAGAGATAGATATTATATTCCTAGAAAAAGAAAAATAGAAAGCAAGAGATACACTGTAAGATTGCTCCATGTCGAACTCGCCTAGCAAATATTGATGTCTATTCCGAAGAAAATTATTAGGTGCTCTCGACCCGCATTTCCAAACTTCCAACTTGCTTTTGGCCGCTCAAAAGGCAAGAACCATCCGGTCATCAATCAATAACCATCATGCAAATTCATTGTTGTTGAGCTACTATGCCAAACTACCAAAAACATTATCCTCATGTTACGTGAATCGATCGCTTATTGTTGTACTCCTATCCTCTGTTATAATCTTTAAATATTTGAGAGTAATTGTTGGCACACAAACTCGTGACATGATATGTAGAAAAACATTTTCAACAAGTTCTACAAATTATATGTAGAAGCAAAGCTACAAGTAGAAGGAAGCATCCTCAGATGTATTTGGACCGTTAGAGCTAGGAGAGTGGAGTAAGCCAGGTGGATAGGCCAAACCCCTACAGGTATGCTTCGCAATTCTTCTATATCTTAAGCTCCTTTATATTTCATTGATATAAGATCACCGTTTTGTATGTGCACTATTGTCTCTACAATACCAATGCACGGTCTTCGCTCGAAATTTTTTTATGTTTCCGTGGATTACGAACTCATCCCCTTCATGGTTGTCTGTGCCTAAATTATTTATCGATTTGCTCATATCCTATTGATATGTGAAAAAAGATAAATAATCCCATATCAGACTACACATTATTGTATCATAGTATTGAAACAAGTTCCATGGAAATTAATTCACGGAAAAATCAAGACGGTATTATATAAAGAAGAGTCGGATGAAAATGATAGCTCCATAAATATTAGTTCTAAGCGAGAGGACCAAAATCAACGGAAGGTTTCAAAGTTGATACTTTAAAGAAAATTTTTCATTGAAACATTATATCTTTTCCTTTTTCAATCAGTTTAGCATGTGTTTTGCTCTCAAGACAACCATGCTTGACTTACTTTTCCAAGTCTTCATTGAAATTGACATGTCAGGCAAATGTGTGGAAAATGGTCGATTTGAGTATCAGTATTCTTGAACCACTAGTTATTCAGGTCCATTCGTGAGTCTTCTCATCTTGCTCAAGTCTTTAAGTTGACGCCAAGTCCATTGATAATGATTCCTATACGGATTTTCGTTCCAAGTAATTTGATTCGCGGAATCGGATTCTCTTTTAATTATTTGAGTGATAAAAAATTTCAAATATTTAAAAAAAAAATTCTCAAAATCTTTCATCCATCCATTGGCTTGTTAAAATTGTGATTTCCTGATGGTGATGGGGCAAAAAAAATCTTTGGCTTCCCTCTTTCTGGGGGCTTTGTTATGAACTCTTCTGTTTGACAGAAATAAAAGCAACGGAATTGACATGAACCTTTCTGAAATAGGTCACAGCGTGTGAGATTCCATGTGTTATTATGTTTTCACCTTTGATTATATAAATTTATACAAACGCATTCAGTTTATATAAAAATCTCAAAATTAAAATAATCTTTACACTAAGAAAAGTATTATACAAAAAATTTAATTTTTTCCGCGCGCGTGCCATTTCTAGTTACCTTAGAAAGCGGCCAATTCAATTGGAGTCTTTGTAGGTTTCTTCTCGTATTATTCATGATGGAAAAAAAGGGAAGTCTGTGGTCACCCATTCCCTCTCAAACTCAATGAATGCATCTTGGCCGAAATCGCCCATGTGGTTGTTGGCCATCCTACGTGACACGATCGACGCTGACGTGGAGAACTTTTAATAATACTTCAATATTTTTCAAATTTTGTAATTTTTAATTTTTCCTTTTTTTCTTTTCTTCTTTTTTCCTTCTTTACTTTTTACTTTTTTTTTTCCTTTTACTCTTTTCATTTTTTTTTTCTTTTTCCCCTTTTCCCTCCTCCGGCCATGCTGGGCCTTGTTGATGACTAGCGCAGGCCACTAGCCTCAGGACAAGGCAGCCCTCGCTGACCTCGAGCGAGGGATGCCTAGAGCTGAGCTGGCGAGAGCAAGCCCGCACCCGATTTGGCGAAGGAGTGCCCTCTTAGGCCTCAGGTGAGGGTCTCCCTCACCTGGGCTAGCGAGGGCAAGCCTTACCCGAGGCCGGCAAGCCGGTGAAGGGCTGCCCTCACTAGGCCAGGCCCTGGTGTCCCTCGACTGAGGCCAGCGACCTCCACTGTCGGTGGACGGAAAAAGGGAAAAAGAAAATAGAAAAGGAAAAAAAAATAAAAGAAGAGAAAAGGAAAAAAAATAAAGAGAAAAACAAAGAAGGAAAAGAGAAGAAAAGAAAGAAGGAAAAATAAAAAAAATTAATAAAAATTCGAAAAATTATTAAAATATTATTAAAAATTATCCACGTTAACGTCGATCGTACCACGTGGTAGGGCCGGCGTCCACGTCAACGATTTCCGACCAAAATTGGATGATAGACCTAATTGGCAAAATGTGAAAAAAATTTAAGATTCAATTGATAAAAATACAATAAATTTAAAACTTTGTAGACAATTTTTCCTATTTTGTCTCTCGTCTTGTTTTACCATCTATTCTTGTTACCGTAAAATTATTGGAGCATAGAAAATGAGGAGGCTGTTGAGAAAAGTCTTGTGCAATGCATTATTACTAGCTGACAAATAATATCTGCAAAGGATGTTATCATCGCGGGGACCAAGAAATTAATGGGTAGTTGATACGGTACACTAATTCATGACCTAGAATTGATCTTGTCCTCCGGTTTTAATGCATTTTGCTTAGAAGACCGGCGTTATCTCAGTAAG